GCATTTACACTTTCAGCACTTTACAACATATAAACTTCAGTTTAAACAGGATGAAAACATGGCCTTCAGGTGAAAATCTCTACCCTGGAAACCTTTGACCCTCAAAAACAAACATATTTGGACTCTCACACACACACACACACACACACACACACCGTCAGGCAAACCGTTGTCCTAACATGACTGCTGGAGGTCTAGTAACGCTATCTGTCTCACCTCTCTGTCACTCAGCGTCTCTCACCTCTGCGTGTCTCTCACCAGTCTCACTTTCACAATATACACAACAGTCTTTCTCTGTTTGACTCTGTTTGGACTCCATTTAATTTAATTGTATGAACAAAACAAACAGAGACATATTTCAAAATATCATATTTCAAAAAGCCAAATAGCTTTGAAACGACATGATGAAGATATTGTCTCTTTTTATGAACTATCCCTTTAACAAAACAACACTAATTTGTTTTATATACTCTACCATTCAGATTAAGTTAAAAAAAAGTCTCTTCTGCTCACCAAGGCTGCATTTATTTGATCAAAAATACAGCAAAACAGTGAAATATTTTTAAAATTTAAAATAACTGTTTTCTATTTGACTATATTAGTCAAAAATTAATCATTCCATTGATCAAAGCTGAATTTTCAGCATCATTACTCCAGTCTTCAGTGTCACATGATCCTATCATGCTCAAGAAACATTTCTGATTATTTCTGATTGTCCTGCTTAAAAACTGCAATACATGTTGTTAGGATTCTTTAATGAATAGCATTTGTTTGAAATAGAAGTCTTCTGTAACATTAAATATATTTACTGTCACTTTTGATAGATTTAATGCAACCGAAAATAAGATAGTTAAACATTTTCTTTATGTTTCAACCACCTATAGAGAAACTTTTCACCCATTCCTGATGGATAAAATCAAGTCCTAGCCAACAGTTGAATATCCCATTTCCCCCATAAATACAATCACAGATTAAAAATACTCTAGGTTGCAAATACAGTCTCGTGTCGAGCAAACAGGAACAGTCCAAATAAACTGTAACCACCAAGACCAAACCTGTCTCACAACCCCTCCAAGTGTCACCTGTTGTGATGCTGTCGTGCCAATCGGATACGGTGTCCCATCTGGACACAATTCAGGGAACGCCATCTGTTACACATGGACAGCAACAGACACACCCACAAACGTCCAAACACACACACGCCATCCTCTGCGCTTACAGTTTCAGAGCACCATTCTAACATGCACAGTAAACGCTGATATATTAAACCACAAGGGAGTCGCTTTGCAGTTGCTAATGTGTTTTGGGTTTTCGCTATGTGGTTGCTTACTGGAAATTTGAGTCGTATGGAGGTAGTGACCTCTAACTACCACAGCCAAAGATCCCAACCCTCAAAAAAATCCAATAGAAAGGAAAACGGACAGAAGGTAAAGGCAAATGAGAGAAGAAAGCGATTTAACGTATTACATTACTGTTTAAAGGAGTATAGGAGTCGTAATGCTGCCCTGAGCATGAGAACAAATCGGATGAGGACAATACTTCAACTGAATTGAGCTGAATGACACCATTGTCTTCAAGAGCTGCTTCACAGCTGACGATTGACGAATTTATTGAACCAAACTGACTTGAGCTGAATAGTGACACTATCCCAGCGAACAAAAATGATCTGTTCCCATTAAGTTATGAAAACGTTATTGCTGAATGCTCTCTGAACGTTCAAAACGTCCAGATTATTAAATGTTTTGAAAGGTTATGTGAACATTCCATTTCATCATTCTTCAAACATTATTAGAATGTTACTTTGGAATGTTCTCTCTGAACCTTCTAAAACGTCCAGTTAAACGTTTCAAGTAAAAACTTTCCATGTGTAAATAATGTTTTTGTGCTAACTTTTTGAAAACATTATTAAAAGGTCAGATATTTTCTAAACAAATGTTTTATTAACATTTCTAAAAGAACGTATGCTCATAACTTTGAGAGAACTTTACCACAACATTCCCTATGATTGTCTTCTGTAGAGCTGCTTGTTGAATTGAACTCGTTTCATAACTGATGAATTTTACACACACACTGTAAAATATGATTTTTCAAAGTTGTATTGGAGTACGTTTCACAATAAAAATACTATTTCAGTTTTGCCGTTTCTGTGTAAATAACTGTGAAATTTGCCACTATGACCATTGTCTTTTTAGCGCTGCTTTATAGCAAAATATACATTTGTGTCATATTTGATGAAGTTTGCATGATTGATTGATTTTGTTAATTATCCTGTTTATTACTATGATTCTGCTTTGAAACAATCTGTATTGTACAAAGCACTATATAAATAATCTGACTTGACTTGACAGAGCCAATCAATCTTAACACAATGTTTTTCGCTCTTTTATCTGGTGATGGTGTGATAAGTGTGTGGGGGTTTGAAGCGCTCGATCCTGCTCATTTGCATTGCATGAATCTGATGATAGATGGGAGATTTTTTTTGCATGTGCTGGTTTGCAGGGGGCTGATGGGAAGGGAAGTTAAACCGAGGACACGACACAGTAAAACCAAACCCCAACAGATTTAAAGGCACGGCTCATCGCATATGAGCAAACAGAAATGTGAAACTTTGCAAGAGCATCAGGTTTGTGTATGTGTGTGTGTGTGTGTGTGTGTGTGTTTGAGCTCTCTAGGCAGGACTAAGTGTCGTCCCATGGGTCATTGCCAGAGTGCAGAACACACAAAAACATGCTGTGTCTCTTTTGTAAGTCTCAGGTGCATAAATGCAGACTCACATAAACACACAGATGAATTGCACAAATCCTATAAAGAACATGTCCTAGTCATTTTTCACCCCCAAATCTAAAGAGAGACATAAGAAATTATATTTTGCATAAAGAAAATTAGGTTTATTTGTAAGGCCATTAAAATATTTTGCATTGTGACTTTTATGCAATTTTTTTATTATTAAAGGGTTAGTTCACCCAAAAATCCCATAATTTACTCACCCTCAAACCATCCTAGGTGTAAATGACTTTCTTGTTTCAGTCAAACACAATCGGAGTTAAATTTAAAAATTATTATTTTCTTCTGAGTTTGGGGTGAAATCATCCTTGAGATTCTGTCTCTCTCTCATGTTAGTATTACTGTCCAGCTTCCAAAACTCATCAATCACCTGTTAAATCACTGTCACTGTTTCTCTCTCGACTTTATTACAATAAACCATTAGCCAAATGTCCTTTAAGTGTTTGAGCTTCTGAAATGATAAATGTAATTCAGTGAAGGAAGGATCTCTCTGCCCTCTTCTGCATGTTGCCCTCTCCTACTTTTTCTTGTTTTCTCAAAAGCTCAAAAGCCTCTTTTATGTGCATGTCAGACCGGGTCGAGAACACGCCCCCTTTTTCCAGACACACCCGACTGGGCACAGAGGCAGACTGTGTGTACATTTACTCCGAGACGCACACCCCCGGAGACACACACACCTAGTCGTCATGACGGCAGGTGCATAATAAACACCCTGCTTTATGCGTTCATTTAAAGTTGTCCATTAGTCTCACTAAAAAAGGCCATTTATGTCAATATAAAAATAGATATGCTCAAAGGTTCTTTATTGGCATCAATGGTTCCATGAAGAACCTTTAACATCCATGGAACCTTTTTATTGGATAAAAGGTTCTTTATAGTAGGAAAAAAGTTATTTAGATCATTAAAATGTTCTTCAACCTAAGAAAAAACAATAGTTCTTTTTAGAATGTTCACTGATGGTTCTTTGGGGAGCCAAACATGGTTGTTCTATGACATCACTGCAAAAACACCCTTTTGGAACCTTCATTTTTAAGAGATTATTTAAAGTAAAATATGTAAAACCTTCCATTCTACGACGTATCTGATTGGTTAAGTTGCATTTAAAGTCCTTGTAAAATAAAAGTTATACACAAATCTGTGATCAAACATAAATTGAAGTCAGTAACACCAAAAGTAAAATACACCGGAAGTAAATCGTTCCCATTATAAGTGATTTGTCTGTCACTCATGACCTCAATAGTGTGAGGTCAGTCTGAAATGTCCTTGCGCACTCATTTGATAGGCAAACGTCTGATTGTTGTGGTTTATCTGAATCGCAGCGAGGCCTGTGAGCACCGTGAGTATGTGTGTGATACACATGCAAATGTCCTACAGTACGACGCACACGTTGACATATCATACAGAGTGCCTTTTTAAAGAAAGCAGGAAACAGGATGTGAAGTCATAGAAGGGGGAAGAGCCATATAAACACACATGCAATAAACCACATCCATGCACAACTATGTCACAGGTAAACATTGGGACTTATTTATGAAGGTCACAGTGATTAATTTGAAGTAAAATTTTGTTTTGTTGATCATGAAACAACACTCCCGTCAGAAAATGTCCTAACCCTATCCTTATCCCTACCCCTAAACCAAACCCTACCCATAGGTATCCCTAAAATCAAAGGGAAATGACCGGTGAATGACACTGATGTAGAAGGACCTAATCCTGGTTGTAAGCTTAAACTTGACATAAACAGTAAACGTGTCCCTCAAATCTGATCTGGTTGATTGGAATGTTGTTCCAGGATCAATAAATATGTTCATCCTGGAACATGTTGCACTTGGTGAAATCAGGTTCACCATTCAGGAAATACAAGCAGAACAAACAGAATGGCGCTTGCAACTCCAACGTCATGGGTTCGATTCCCAAGGAATGCAAGAACTGATAAAATGTATAGCTTGAGTGCAATGTAAGTCGCTTTGGCTAAAAGCATCTACCAAATGCATAAATATAAAAAAGAAGTATATATATATTTAAAAAATTAGTATTGGTTTGTTTAATTTCTTACCATAGCAACTTAATAAAATGTACAAAATATATTAAAGGTGCTTTTGGCTATTTTATTTTATCTATTTAAAATATTTGTACTTAAATATTTTATTTTATTTTACTGGTAATTATTTGCTCACAGCACTTTTAATTTACAAATAAATGTGACGTTTACTTACCGAACAGGGTCTTGGCACTGATCTTGCTGTCCGATCTGGCCACCCCACTGCAAAGAAGAGCAGATGAGGATGAGGAGGGTGGTGGACGATGTCTGCTCTTCATCGCTGTACAGTCTTTAGTTTTGATTGAAATGTTCTAGACGGCACACACTCGCTGCACTGGTCTAAAGTGAACGCTGCATGGCACAGATTGTTTGAGACTGAGATCTACAGGTTGTGAGAGCATAGGCGAGTGAGGAAAGGGGTATGAGCGAGACACACAGACACACAGAGACAGGCTGTTTCCAACAGGGCAGGAAAGCAAACACTCCCAAACAGTGCAGCTCTGTTAACTTAGACTGTAACATACATACACACACACACACACACACAATCTCACAAAAAAAAAAAATCACTAACTACAGGATGTTTGGCTAGGTGTGTGTAGGTCCCAGAAAAACATAAGCTACGTTCAATTTACATGCATATAATGCCAGAAACATGTTATTTGAAAGTACGCAAAATGCATTGAGCCAATGCACTGCAAGATTGGTGTATTTAACAAGAGGATGTTTCGTAAAATAGCTCACTATGCAAGTTATTATTTTGAAAAAGTATCGTCATAACATAAAAATAAGCTGTGAATTTTTTTTTTATTAACTACAATAAAAAATGACATGTACTAATGTAATAATTACTAATGTAATTATATATATACATGAAATACGGTATGAAAAAATATGGAAAAATACACCAAAAATTGCTTGTCTTCGTATTTATATAATTCAATATTGAATGGTCTGATTTAAAACTTTCAATTTTTCTATAATGTGACATTTGAGAAAAAAAACAATACTAAAATGTAACTAAAACTGTATTTAAACAATAAAATATGAACAATTAAAAGTAAACCTAATTAGAGCTAAACTGATTTTGAAAATCAACTAGTGAACTATAATAACTGCTCAGTATAGGGGGCGATATAGTTTCCTTCGAATGTCTGTTCTATTAAACCAGGTACGATACAATCCAGGTAACTAGATAAAAGACATAACGAGATAAATTAACTTTAAACTGTTGCACCATTTATTGACCGTGCATTGAGTACTTGCGTTGCGTTATGAATTGCGACAACATATTAAGTTGAGCTTGCATAGTTAGAAGCTTCTCCATTCACGTGACTGTGTATTCGAGCGTGAGACTTACTTGCTTGGTTTTGTTGGGGTCCCCAAAACATTCATGTTCTACGACATCCACCTGTAACAGAGAGCCAGACAGAAGAATACAGGGTCACTGACACCAAACTTCACTCAGGAAATGAAACACATCACACATGGCACAGCAATTACAGTAAATCCCTGTATTTTGTACTATAATATCTCCCTTAACTTCCCACAGGGTGCGTCTGACCTGTATGAATTGTGCAGTAATGCACTAATGACTCTTAATTTGAATAATTTGAGGCTGGTTAAGACCTGCGTCATCACTTTGGCCTCTTTAAATTGTCACAAATTGCCACCTTACTTTGTGTTAATCTCTCGCTAAACACCAAGCTATTCTTGTTTTCCACGTCTCCACTTCCCTCTTTCAAAGGCCTTTCCATTGTTTCATTCTTTCTCTGTTCTGGCCGCTGTGAATAATTCATCTCTGTGTGACTCTTGAGGCACACGACTCCTTTGAAGAACGGTAAATGTACCAAACAGAGCATGAACCGACTGTCTGCATCCTGTCTGCAATTGGTTCAGCTCTTGAACAATAAATACGTCATTATAAACAAACAAGTCATTCCAAACAAATGGAGGTTCAAAAAACATTTTCTAATCACTCCAGCACGACTTAAAACTATCCAGTTTTCTTAATTTGAGTAGAACATTATTTAAACGTTAGCATAACGTTTTTCAGCATTTTACAACAACTTCAAAGCTGCAGTCCATAGCTTTTTTGGGGTTAAAAATTATCCAAAATACATATTTGAGAAAATACATAACCAGCCAGTGTTCAAAACTCTCTGCTTGCCATAGCTAGATTCAAAACGGTAAGCTTGTAATAATGTTTTTAATTCCAGTGGTACTGGTGGATTTCCGCGGGGGATTCGAGCATGTCTTTGCGCCATTATCAAACGACAATCACCAGTGACACCTGGAGATTCACCCGCTGTAAAACGCAAAAGACTTCGTTCGGACTTCGGCTACAGAAAAAAAGAAACTGCAAGCGGACATGCGAAAACAAGGATACATATCGGAAGGACATTACATGTAGTCACGCAATGCTGACTTGTTAAAGGTCCCGTTCTTCGCGATTCCATTTTTCAAACTTTAATTAGTGTGTAATGTTGCTGTTAGAGCATAAATAATACCTGTAAAATTATAAAGCTCAAAGTTCAATGCCTAGCGAGATATTTTATTTAAAGTAACACCAAGTAACTTTTCCTCAGCGATCGCCCTACAGGTTGGAAGCGGAATTGTCCATTACCGCTGTCGTAAATAATTTAGCCTAGCGCAGCCTACGGTCGCACGCACGCTCGCTGTTTATCCAGCACCGGCTTTGGAATCAGCAATGGCAGACATCCCAACCTGCAAGAAGTCATTTCAGGGAGGTATATATTGGTGACTGGATTGTTGACGGGGGGGGGTGGCGGGTTGACTAGCTTTCGCGAGTCACACTCGCAAGGTCTCTCGCTCTCTCCCTCTCTGCCGTGCTCGCGCTATGTATGTTATGCGCGCAGTATGTTGTGTCTCGCATGCGCGCTCTAGATTCCGGCAGATTTGAACTAATTTTCGGGCATCAGGGAGACGCTATCAATATGCGGGAGACTCCCGGGAGACTTGGGATGTCTGCAATGGCCACAGACAATTTGAGGAAGTGGTGGGGGAAGTGACGTATGCCGTAAAACAGTCGAATTTTGTAGTTCTTTTTGTGCACGGGTTCCTACCCGAAACCCGAAGTTACATAGTGCCAGTAAAAGCGATACAGACCACGTCAGGCTATGGCAGACGTGTCATTTAACTTATTTTAAGTCGATGTACCATCACAAGGGTCTTGGAAATATATTATGAAGGTTGAAAAACTACATAGTGTTACTTTGTACTTTCTGAAGGAGGGACTTCATAGAACAAGGAAGTCATCGGGGCGTTTTTTTAACAGTGAAAACAGCGGTATACAGATAAGTAAATTGTGTGAAAAATACTGTGTTTTTTTACACGCGAAACATGAACACATGTTATATTGCACACTGTTAACACAATCAAAGCTTCAAAAAAACATGAAGAACGGGACCTTTAACATTAACAATTTGAGAACAAAGTATAATTTGCACGGTTTTGCGTGATATGTTAGATTTAATCAGCGCGATTTACTGCAATGTCAGAACCAGAACAAAAGTGGATGTTTCTTACTAGTTCAGATGACATTTTCCGGTGAAAATTATTATTAGGGATGGGAATTGATAAGATTTTATCAATATCAATGCCACTAACGATTCTGCTTATCGATCCGATTCTTTAACGATTCTCTTATCGATTCCTGATAGCACTGTGTGGAAAAAAGTAGTCATGCTTTTTCGGTGGGGGGGGGGGGGGACAAGTAGTTTTATTTGTTTTAAAGCCTACACTTGAGTAAGCAAAGTGTACTTTTTATGTAATTTATGTAATAAATGGAACCTTATTGTAAAGTGTTACCGATTAGATATACACCGATTAAACGTACCGTGAGTTCAATGTTGGAAAGGTCAATTGTTTTAACCATTCATTAAAACGAATCGGTTCAAATGAGTCATTAGTTCGCGAATTGGACGTGTCATTATCGGACGTGTGCCGGCGGTTGGACATCCCACAAAATGTGTCATCACAGAAAACATTTCATCACTGGATAGTTTTTTTCGTTTATTTAAAGTGTGGTTTATGTCAGCTGAATGTGCGGAACGCTTTTCAGAGAAGATAGGCAACGTATTTTAGCACAATTCACACCCAGCGGTATCCTAATTCAGGAAAAACACATCTCTGAATGCTCCACATGAAACTTTAGTCTCCCGACCTTACCATCGTGTCGTTTATTTTGATTAATATGTGCGAGGGAGAGAGAGCAAGACAGCGCTTAGTTTTGAGACGGTGAAGCCGCCTTGCTCCGAAGAGAGAGAGAGTGCGCGCGCGCGACCGGGGCTCTCTCTCTCTGATCGTTCAGTTAAACAAGCGCAGCAGTTCATCTACTTTACTCACCGATCAAATAAGACTTTGGCGGTACAAAAATTCGCTTTGGACGCCGTGCTATGGTGCTTGATAAAGGACAAAAGGGACAGTTGTGAGTTCACGGTCTGTATACATACTATGGCTGACTCAGAGCAGGAGCATCGATAAGAGGACTCGTTAACGTCGAGGGCATACAATATCGATGGATCGTAAAACTTAGAACCGGTTCTCGAGTGGAACCGGTTTTCCATTCCCATCCCTAATTATTATGTTGGTCATACTTACCAAAAGAATAATCTGTGATTCTGAATGCCAGTATCCACACCGGCGCGGCGACTGACAGCCTCACACTCTCCTCAAACACTGTGTTCATCCGCGCTGTGCCGTGTCGAGGGTGTTGAAGTACAACTCGCGTAAAGTTGATAATTCCGCGAATGACTGCAATTGCAGATTTCGAACAGAGATGGCGACAAAGAGGAAAAACTGCAGACTGCAGCTTTAAAGTCCCCATGACATCAAAACTGAAGTTTTTTTGGCTTTAAGTTTGAATATTTCCGCCTTAAGGTTGTCTATAAGCTAGTGTGCTCCAAAACAATGACAAAATTCGCATTTAGAAGATATAAGCGTTTAAAACTTACAGTCTCTCACTTCTACCAATATGGATCAATGATTTTGATGACATCATGGTGCACTTCAGCTTCTCATCAGATTCTGGCCAATCAAATGATCTCTAGAATCTGAAGCTCCGCCCCCTACATTATAAACAGAGGCTGAAGCTGCGGCTAAAATCGGTCACTTGTTCACACATTTACTATTTTCTACATGGTGAATGGCACAGTGCACCATATAGGGAATAGGGAACGAAATATGCTTTCCATTGCGGCGAATGAAGTCTGGTTTCACGTGAACCACCGCAGCTCCGGTCCAGCGACACGATACGACAGCACAGAGCGGATCATATGTGCGAGTCAGCGCAGACCAGAAAACGTATCGGACGCATCTGAATTCTACACAAAAATGCTGTATTTTAAAGCGATATGGAGGAGATTAGGAGGAGAAACATTAGAGATTAGGAGGAAACTGAGGCTTTATCGAGCTCAACAGCTCTGGCTGAGCCGTGATATAAACGAAACGCTATTGGCTATTTTTTTAAAGGGGAGGAGCTGTTCAATATGTCCCGCCCTGTCCTCCTGTTTCAGTGGAAATTACATCAACACTTTGAATAATGCTGCACGTTTCAAGGCACTTCAGTGGGACTTTAGAGTTACCATCCACATTATTTGAACTATTAAAATCTATCGAAGGGGGAAAAAAATCCAACAAATGTCGTATCAAGGTCGTTTTCTCTCATTGTGAGAACTTGCATCAAATACTAATAACATCAAAAGGACGTTCCAATAACATTTTAGGAACATATGTTTATACAACGTTAGCCGGAGCATTTACAGTCTTCCTACACAGTAAAACTTTTGTAAATAAAACAAAGATTATTGGAGTATGTTTTACTAAAATCATGTTTAATTTAATGTTTCTTGCCATTTCTTTGTAATAATCTGCGACATTTACAAGCAATTCCTTTATCGAATGTGTCAAACGCCTCACTAAGCCTGTTTTAACACAGTACTAGGGGTGTGATGAACCGCAGTGTTGTTTTGGTTGTATCTGTTCTGCTGTCCGCTGTCCCGTAAAGATGCTGGACCAGACAACAGCAGGCTGGCAGCCCAGCCTGAAACAAGACCTGCCTCTCCTCGGGACACGCACATTTTTCAAACACCTAATTAATTACACACTCTTGAGGCTTTACACACAAATACACTCCCGGGCTCTGCACTTGACTGTGCATTCTGGATCACAGAGGAATCTTTGCATGTGTGTGTGTGTTTATAATAATATGCATTTAAAATCTATAGAGAAAAAGTACATCCACCCTAAATAAAAAGTTAGCGGGTCTGAAATGTCATTGTATAATTCACACACTGACCTCAATAAATAACAAACATCATCAGCTGAGTTGATGTGGACTATAGACTAAAGGAGATGTGATACGAAAAACACGTACACTCAATCATAACA